AAATTTCCACTGTTTTGTTGATCAGCTGCACCTGCTGGGTTTGTTTTTTTAAATCTGGAAATTATTATTTGTAATGCGGGATCTTTTGTGCAGTAAAAATTCTTTTCTCTTAACACAACAAACAGGGATCTTAGGTGGCGGGATTTTAGGCGGAGACTGCTGTATATTATAATAGTGTATAATAAAATGTATACTCATGTATATTTCATCACATCATTTTCCCATTTTTCTCCAATTCTCCTCTCTCTCTCTCTCTCTCTCTCTCTCTCTCTCTCTCTCTCTCTCTCTCTCTCTCTCTCTCTCTCTCTCCCCCCCCCCTCTCCTAACTCCCAGCAAGCTCTATTATAATAAATATACTCGTTATTGTTTATTCTCGGTGCCAAGTGGAACTCCTCCCAGCTCCCGCCCAACTTTTGATCTCACCTTTTCTCACCCTGTCAGTTTCCTGGCAGTAAACTATATGTTATGAACCTCAGGCGCACGTGTTCTCTCCCAGCCATAAATACCCTCATTACACCTTGAATAATCCTGGTCTACGGTACGCATCTGCTGGTTTGAGGTGCTGTGCGATTTTGAGGAAACTTCAAACAAAACTTAGTCGACGTTTCGAAGTGTGATGTAACTATTCATGCTATTCGATTACCCGTGTGTGAATTATTCTTCTTACTAGTCCATTCTTGACATTCTCTATCCAATAGTGCTGGGCGGATGAGTTCCCGATTATTGAAAGCTAGGAATCGAAGAAATCGACTCCGAACCCAATTACTTATTTTCTAATGATGTGATTTTTTTTTTCGGTGGTAACCTGGTTGGCTCCGAACGTCTTCAGGATTTAGGATAACCTTGGTTTCGGAACACCACGAAGGATCAACTTTTTTTTTTCAAAAATAGATTCTTTAAAAAAGAAGAACATTTTAATGATAAAACCGTTGGTTTACGTAAAAAGTAAAAAGGAGAAGGAATTTTACATCCGTAGTAGTCTCCTGAACAGACCACCACCAAGTAACCTGCCTAGCATCCTGCCTAACATCCTGCCAGCAAGAAATGAGCTACCAATCTGCTATGATGCCCCATCGAAACAAGAGATTATGGATGCCATTAAGAAGCTGAACAAAAAGGAAGCGGCCGGTCCAGATCAGATTCCACCCGAGGCCCTAAAAACAGAAGCCAATGTGACGGCAGACCTCCTTCTCCCATTGTTTACCAGGATCTGGAATGAGAGCAAGTTCCCAAAGGATTGGAAAGAATGACACCTTGTGAAACTACCTAAAAAGGGGGATCTCAGCAACTGCAGCAACTACCGAGGAATCACTCTTCTCTCAATACCAGGTAAGGTCTTCAACAGAATCATTCTGGAGAGAATCAAGTCTGCAACGGATCCAAGACTTCGGTATGAACAGGCTTGTTTTCGGAAAAATCGGTCAACCACGGACCAGATTGCTACACCGAGGATCATAGTGGAACAGTCCCTGGAGTGGAACTCCTAGTTGATCGTCAACTTTCTTGACTATGAGAAGGTCTTTGACAGCATAGACCGAGCAACACTGTGGAAGGTACTGAGACATCACGGAATCCCACAGAAGTTGGTTAACCTCATCGGGAGCATGTACGAAGGGACAGGTTACAGGGTTATACATGGTGGCCAGCTCACTGACAGCTTTGACATCAAGACCGGTGGGAGACAGAGGTGTTTACTATCACCATTCCTTTTTTCTTGCAATCCTCTGGCTGATGAAGGAAACCACCAGAGGACACATAAACGGTATACAGTGGACCCCATGGACACAGTTGGACAAGCTGGACTTTCCAGATGACTCGGCGCTTCTGCCACACACTCAGGAACAGATGCAAGCAAAGACAACAATTTTAAACAGCCTATCAGAGTTGGATTGAGGATCCACCCCGGAAAGTCAAAAGTCGTAAGGATAGATGCACTACGAAAGAAGCAGGTCACAGTACAAGTAAATGCACTAGAAGACGTCGAATCCTTCTGCTATCTTAGGAGTATAATTGGCAAAGAGGGAGGAACAGGCGCAGAAATAAAGTCCCGCATTGGAAAGGCACAGACTGCATTTATTTCTTTGAACAGGATTTGGAGGACCAGGGATATCTCACTACGAACAAAGCTTAGAATTGTCAACTCAAATGTGAAGTCAGTCTTGTAGTATGGATGTGAAACGTGGAACTCATCTCAGACGTGCATAAAGAGGATCCAGGTTTTCTTGAACAAGTGTCTGAGGAAGCTACTGAGGATCAAATGGACAGACAGGATCACCGACGAGGAAGTATTAAGAAGAATGAGACAGAGCCCCGTGGGATGAGGTGGGAAGAAGACGTTGGCGATGGACTGGACACACTTTCAGGAAGTCAAGCAGCTGTATAAAAAGGAAAGTGTTAGATTGGAACCCACAGGGTAAAAGATCAAGGGGAAGACAACGTGGAATCTCTAGAAGAGTCACGGGAATGGATGTACAAAAAAGTGTGAAGACGTGGAGTGACATCAAGCGACTAGAATAGGAAAGGGAAAGGTGGAAAGTGTTTATTCGTGGCCTATATCCTGATCCAGGGTGAGAAAGGCAATACTTGTGATGATGACTTAGCACATGTATTATTCACCTGAAAAGAAAAGCATTAAGACTCACGTGAATAATACATTTTGCACAATCAAAAAGTGGTATCTTTTTTCTTCGCCAGTAAAGGATGTCCGGACTTTGGAGAGACCCAAAAGGAAATATTTTAAATGAATCAAAATTTAAAAAATTAAGTTCGCCATCGTTAATGTCATTAGAATTCTCGATTTTATAAAGGCCAATCATCGTACTATTTAAAAATGCAAATTACTGTCTCTATTATTTATTGAATTTTTACCAGGATTTTAAATTTTCAACCATAAAGTGAAACCAGGCATTGCTGTGAAATAATGTGAAAACAGCCAATGCAAGTCCCGACCTTGTGCAGTTGTGAGTGCCGTAAAAACTAAACTAAACCAACTCTTCTGTTCTCATGGAGCGCATTAGTAGCTCAACTTAAACCATTTTGAACTTTGGTGCCACTGTCCTAAATTCGATTTCCCGAATACGCGTTTTTTAAATTCACGTTGATCTATTTGGGGGAACTTTTCAAGGCTCTCCACCTTTAGGTTATGTTCTACTGAAGCAATGGACGATAGCGTTAGAGTAGGCAATATATACGCCGTTTGTCGACAAGAATTCTGCATGTTTCGACAAGTTTTGTTTTTGCAGCTTTTTTGTGTGTTGTATCGGAAAAAACACTAAAATGTTAAGCTGGAGAATTATAAAAAGAATAACCGCCAAAAAAAAAGACTATACATGTACTTATAAGATGTTGACAAAATATTGCCATATGGTTGTAAAAACATCGTGCGAAAGTTAAACCTTGTTAGTCGGAAAATGTGGAAGCCTTAGTATTTTGAACTTCAATCTTACGAAATGAGACCGTTTACATACCCCCCTCTCTCTCTCTCTCTCTCTCTCTCTCTCTCTCTCTCTCTCTCTCTCTCTC